TTCTCATTTAAGTCAATAGAGTTCCACAATTACTTACTCACAATTCTTAAACTTACACAGCTCTGGACACCAGAAGTTTTCTCTTAACTCATTTAACAGCGAAATCTGACTGAAGCAACAAGGGGTTACTTGGGGTTCTTTAGCCACTCGATGTAACTATTCCTACATTTTGCTGCAGAACTATTGTGCTTGATTATGCAATGCCACCTCTTCCTTTTCTAAATTCCAAGTATTTTGAATTCCAAAAACAAATCTGAGCCCCCCATTTTTTTCTTTTTCTTTCTTTCCTTTTTCTTTTCTTTTAATTGAGACAGGGTCTCACTCTGTTCCCCAGGTTAGAGTGCAGTGGCACAATCATGGCTCACTCAGCCTCGACCTCCCAGGCTCAAGTGATCCTCCCACCTCAGCCTCCTTGGTAGCTGGGACTACAGGCATTGCCACCATGCCTGACTAATTTTTGTATTTTTTGTAGAGATGGGGTCTCCCTATGTTGCCCAGGCTGGTCTCAAACTCCTGGGTTCAAGCAATCCACTTTCCTTGGTTTCCCAAAGTGCTTGGATTATAGGCGTGAGCCACTGTGCCCAGCCCCAAAGGGTTTTAATTGTCTACTTATACATTATATAGAGAGATCTTACTCTGTTTTCCTGTTTTTACTCAGTATTATATTTTTAATACATATTCATGTTACAGCATGTACATCTAGTCTATTACTTCTAACTGCTGTAGAATACTCCATGAAGTGGAGTCCTACATTCCACTCACTCACTCCCCCAGTAATGAGCAGCTACATTACCTCCAGTTCCCCATCACTACAATGACTTCATGAACATCCTCATACATGTTCCTTTGTGGACCTGTATGAGAATCTCCACGGGATATACACCCAGGGTTAACAGCTGGGTCATGGGTGTGAATATACTTAATCTGGCCAAGGAATGCCAGAATACCCTTCAAAACAGCCATGTCCATCTACTGGCATGGTGTGGTATAATAGATCCTGTAGTCCCCCATTTTCCCAACACTTACCAGTATCCAGTGTTCTCCACTTGTCAGTCTAAGAGATGTAAAGAGATATCTCATTCTTGTTTTCATTTGCATTTTCAGATATAACTGAGCCTCCAGGTATGCTCATTAGTCTTTGGGGTTTCTTCTCTTTAAATTGCTTATTCATGAGCTTTACCCATTTTTCACTAGTGTTTCTGTCTTTTTCTTGCTGATTTACAAGAGTTCCTTGTTTTTAGACATTGAAAAGATTGGCTTTAGACACTGAAAAATATCTTCTCCCAACCTGTCAGCTGTCTGTTCATTTGGTTCATGCATAGCAGAAATGGGTACAACAGAAATCTTAATTTTTATGTAATCCAATTGATCAGTATTTTGCCGTATGGTTTGGAACTTTAGAAGTTTTAAAAAAGTCCTCCCCACTTCTAAGTTTAAAAAAGTCCTTCCCACTTCTAAGTGTCCTAAGATATAAAGGACAAAGATAGTCCTCTATATTTTCTTCTACTACTGTAACAATTTTACTTTTCACATTTGGTCTTTAATTCACTTCCAAACGGATTCACCTCTGTTGTTTTAGATTGGAGTCCAGTTTTATTTTTCATCATACATTGTACATGTTCTCTTTTTCAAAAAAATTTTTATAGGGAGTTTTTGCCTAGGCTGGCCTTGAACTACTGACCTCAAGCAATTCTCCTGCCTTGACCTTCCAAAGTGCTGGGATTACAGGTGTGAGCCATTATGCCCAGCCCTTTGAGTATTTTCTACTAAATATTGCATGTTTTCCTCATTAATCAGGGAATCATACATATTACCTTATATTTAATACCCAAATATATAAATCTATCTATAATTTCTCTACTCTGTTTCAATGGTCCATATGCCTGATCTGTTGCCAATATCACTACTTTAATTTCTATGGCTTTAAATTATGTCTACATGTGATAGGGTTAGTCCCCCTTTTCATTATTCCTTTAGTATTTTAATTTAAGGCCAGGCACAGTGGCTCACACCTGTAATCTCAGCACTTTGGGAGGCCAAGGTGGGTGGATCACTTGAGCCCAGGAGTTTGAGACCAGCCTAGGCAATAAAACTAGATTCTGTCTCTACAAAATATAAAAATAAAAATTAGCTGGATATGATGGTGTTGCCTGTGGTCCAAGCTACTCAGGAGGCTGAAGTGGGAGGATCACTTTAGCCCAGGAGGTCAAGGCTGCAGTGAGATGTGACTGTGCCACCACTATACTCCAGCCTGGCTGATACAGCAAAACCATGTCTCCCAAAAATTTTATTTAACTTAGTCATAGATTTTGTTATTACATCTGTATTTTAGAGTAGGTTTATTATTAAGTTTCTGAGAAAATTTGTTTGTAGCTTATATTGGAATTACATTGAGCATGTGAATTAATGATAAGAGACTTAAGCTTTCTATATAGAGAAACCTTCCACCCAAGGGTATAGAATTATTTAATTAAATCACCCTATATTCTTGACTGAACTTTAAAATTTTTCTCCAAACACTATTCTGTAGTTATCCCAGCTCATGTAATAATCATAATAACTCTATACTGTAGTACTTTTATTATCATCATTTAACAGATGAGTAAACTGAGCCCAGAGAGATAAATAACTCGCCTAAGAACACACAGCAAGTAAGTAGCAGAACCTGGATTAACATAGTTTAGTCCATACTCTTAGCCATTGTATTGCTTCTGTATCTACAGTCAGTTACTTTATAGTTTGGCTGCTTCTATGGATGTCATCTTGTTTTTATTATATTTTCTGACGGATTGTTGCAGAAATTGGTTGATTTTTTTAAAGTTAGTATGTGTATTGTGCGATGTTGTTAAATTATCTTCTTAGTTCTAATAGTCTATTAATTTTTTCTTTTTGTATATCAACTGTAAAAAGTGACAGTTTTACCTTTTCTTTTCCAAGTTTAAATCTCTCATTTCCTTTTCTTTCCTTATAGTGTTGGCCAAGACCTCCATGACAATGCTACACACTGTAAAGTGGTGATTGTGAGCAAAGACTGTCGCTTACAGAAAAATCATGTATTCCTAGAAGAAGGTTTTCATTTTATCTTAGCTAGAGTACATGGAGCGCATCAAGAAACTGTTTCACAAAAATATAAGTTAGAAAGTGTGTCCGGTAGCCAAGAATCCATTTTTAACAGATGAGCCCTGTGCTCATCTAAGCAATGGAAATTACTTTTATATAGGAGATGTCCCTTCCAGGGGAGAAACAGCTCAGTTGTGATACACTTGTGTTCATCCTGACTTTAAGTACATTTAACTCCACACTAAACCCCTGTAGCCACAACACAGCTCTGCGCCTGTCATTTGCTTCACACAAACTGCTAAATGCAATTGTTTCTGACAATGGATTACTCTGTATCCCCGGGGGAATTCACAGACAGCAGCATTAGAAGGGGCCTTAGAGATCAACCATCTCTCTTACACACACCTAAAACTTCCCACAGCGGTGCTTCATCAGCTTTGAGAGTGGATGAGCCAACCAGAAGGCAGCTCCAATTATTAGGCCCTGGGGCCTGGGCATAGTCAGGCCCTTTGGAAGCTCCAAGTCAGAGACCAAACACATCCTCCCGTTACCCACGCCTAGGGTGACTAATGCCTGTGGGAAGAACAACTGAACTAAAAAGTCCCACAGGAACCTCAAACCCAGCACATCCAAAATGGAACTTCTCACCATCTCCTCCAAACTCAGTCCTCTTATACAGTAATCCCTGTAAAGCGAGAACAATCTCCATTCCCCATTCTCAGGGCCTTCCTGTCCCTCTCACCTGAGGAGCTACCAAGCCTTGGCCCACAGGCCCTCTGAGAGTCCCTCCTGATCACCCTGTGTTCTCCATACTGAATAAGGACTTGGCCACACCTTGTCAACTCTTCCCTCTGCTCCACTCCTGACCCCTGGATCCATCCGTCAGGATGTGGCTGAAGGGATCCTCCCATCATGCAAATTCTGCCACATCTCCCTGCCTAAAACCCAGGAAGACTCCCCACTACTCCCAGCACAGAAGGTACACTCCTTAGTATGGCATCCCCTGCCCTCATGGCACGGCCCCATCCAGCTCTCCAGCCTCACAACCTGCAAGGACACCTAGACCCCCACCTCCCTCAACCCTTCATGACTGCGCTTCTGATCCCTGTTTCCCCTGGCTAAACCCTGCGTGCCCTCCCGCTGGACGCGGTCTAATGCCTACTTGTTTTTAACACTCAGGTTGGGGCCCCAGCTCCCGGGAGTCTTTGCTGACTCTTGGACCCCGTTGCTCCGGCTGAGCGTGGACTCTTTCTCTAGGTCTTTCCTCCCAGGACTCTGTGCATTCATCCCATCGGTAAACTGGATTCTCTACAAGAGTAGTAATTGCATAGTCAGTCAGTTCTCATCCCTTTTCAGGTTTCAGAAAAGACCTGTGAACAAAAGGCATTGAGTCTGATTTAGTGTGGCAATGCCCCGAGGGTCCTGTTCTCCCTGGGTGTCCTGCACCTAGTGCAACGTCGACCTGGCATCTAGTGAGCCATCTGAAGGAACGATGATGAGTGAATGATTTGCCTACCCCTTCCAGTAGTAGGCTGGAGGTTGTGGTTAGGGCCCATCCCTATGCAGGACATGGAAAGTGGGAGGCACTCCTCTCCCTACGTCGGCAGGGGGCGCTGCACAGCTGCGGGGCGGGGAGGCTGAGACAAGGGGCGTCCAGCTAAGGCCGGGGACCCAGGGTGGTGGGCGGGGTGTCTCGCCCGCCTGTGGACCCCGCGAAGTAACTGCGAACATTTCGCTTTCATTTTGGGCCGAGCTGGAGGCGGCGGGGCCGTCCCGGAACGGCTGCGGCCGGGCACCCCGGGAGTTAATCCGAAAGCGCCGCAAGCCCCGCGGGCCGGCGGGACCGCACGTGTCACCGAAAAGCTGATGTAGAGAGAGACAGAGAAAGAGACAGAAAGCAACAGACCAGTGTCCCGGGAAAGTCCTGCCGCGCCTCGAGACAATTATAAAAATGTGGCCCCCTGGGTCAGCCTCGCAGCCACCGCCCTCACCTGCCACGGCCACAGGTCTGCATCCAGCGGCTCGCCCAGAGCCCCTGCAGTGCCGGCTCAGCATGTGTCCAGCGCGCAGTGAGTACCCAGCTGGCCAGGGCTCTGGTTTGCTCGAGTGCGGAGGGGCGGCTGCTTGGGAAGAGGGGGTGGAAACTCAAGTCTGCCTAAGGAGAGACTGGAATAGCAGCAGCCCTCTCCTGCAAAGAGGAATAAGAATAGGGGTCTCACCATGCTCTAAATAGGGCATGTCTCTTTTCATCTCGAAACAGCCTGATGAACTATCATTATGCCCACTTCGTAGAGGAGAAACTGAGGCCCAGCATGGGAGATTTCCTGCTTTCCTGCCTAGGGTCCCTCAGCTACAAACAGAAGGCAGATCCAGATCCTAGCTAGTTGTAAAGTCAGGATTGGCAGGGTGCAATGGTTCACGCCTGTAATCCCAGCACTTTGGGAGGCCAAGGCGGGCAGATCACCCGAGGTCAGGAGTTCAAGACCAGCCTGACCCGTCTCTACTAAAAAATACACAAATTAGCCGAGTGTGGTGGTGGGTGCCTGTAATCCCATCTACTGGGGAGTCTAAGGCCGGGAAAATGACTTGAACCCGGAAGTAGAGGTTGCAGTGAGCCTAGATTGTGTCACTGCACTCCAGCCTGGGCCACAGAGTGAGACTCCGTCTTAAAAAAACAAACAAGTCAGGCTTTCTCACTCCACTGTTTTTAAAACACTGGGTCCCAAGTCTGACTCAGCCACTTCACCACCTGGTCTGGGTTTCCCTCATCAAAAACATGAAGGCTTTCTCTGGGTGATTTTTGGGTTCGACACCCTTGTCCAAGCTCATCCCTAAACCCTCACAAGGAGCTGGCTTCTAGTCCTAGAATAGAGTGGCGCTTTGTAATAACTTGAGTCATCTCTCAGGTGTTGAGGGAAAAGTGTTGGAAATGGGTGGAGGGAGGTGGGTGCCAAGCAGAAATGGATGGGTGAAGGTGGCTAGAATGGAGGGAAGGTGGTGCAGGCAGGCCATCCAGGCTGAAGTTCCTCCACCTGCTCCTCACTTCCCTTCCAGGCCTCCTCCTTGTGGCCACCCTAGTCCTCCTGGACTACCTCAGTTTGGCCAGAAACCTCTCCGTGGCCACCCCAGGCCCAGAAATGTTCCCGTGCCTTCACCACTCCCAAAACCTGCTGAAGGCCGCCAGCAACACGCTTCAGAAGGTGAGCTCTTCCTGTCTTCTCCGCTGTGCACCTGTACCCTCCCTGAGGAAGGGGCCTCTCATCCTACCCTCTGGTACCTGATGGAACTGCAGAGAAATTGTGGAGGTTCATTAGTAGCTGTCAACAGCAGGAGAGGGAACTTTACAAATGGCCCAAGTGTTAAAGAGTCCTAGTGAAATTGTGTCTCCAGAGAAAGCAAGAGTAATAATAAATTATAATGATGTTGGTTTTGGCTATGTCTACACAGAGTAAAGTGGATATTTGCAGTGTTCCTGTAGCCTGCCAACAGAGATAGAATTGTGTCAGGTCCACATGGTTTCTCTGCATCACTGTTCAAACCCGGAAATAGTTACTTGGGTGCATACTCTGTGTTGGGGGGCAGGGGTACAAAGATGAAATAGCCTTGTCCCTCCTGCTGCCCACCAGCTTCTAGTTGGTGACACAGTTCCTTCTCAGAGCAACACTTCTCAGGGAGGACTATGACAGTGCACATGCGGCCTTCATTTTCTAGGGAAGAGTTACCTAATTTTATTTACAGCTTCGTTCTTTTAGGTTTCATATTTTAATGTGAAAACCATTGCCGTTAAAAACTGCTCCAGTAGCTATTGCTGCAAAGGCTAAAGGCTAGTGTTTTAAAAGATGTCCTCTGCCTTTTTGATCTCTAGGAAATTTTTCTTGCGTATTTTCTAGCTTGTTGCCTTATGAATATCTTAAAATAAGCTCAATGCCACCAAGCCTTCCAAAAGGGCTCTTTTCCCCTTTCAGTCTTTCATAATGTGCTGTGCATTGCTCCTCACAATTCAATGAATCTTCATTAGACAGGGGGCTCAAGTGAGAACTGCTTTGTTTCCTGAAGAAAGGTTCAAAATGGATAACTTGTAGGTGCTCCAATTCATATGGGTGTTTTTTGTGCAAAAGCTGACGCCTCTACTCCCAGTACAGTCAAAAGATTATAGAAATCAGTGTAATGTTTTGTACATCATTTGTCAAATTTGCTGCAGTAGGAAACAAAGGAGGTAGATGCAAGTGATTCACTGGCCATAGCCAGCCCACAGTTTTGTAGAGTTTGGGCTATATGTTTATTTTTTAGTTTGATGCTATTCAAAAACTGAACCTTTCAATTGAGATTTCAAATTTCTAGCTTCTCTTGAAAAGACCTCAAGAACAACACTGGACTCACACTTCCAAATCTAACTCTTTAGAACCTGCTCAGAATAGTGGCATTGCCTAGGTCTATTTAAACACCTCCAGGAATGGTGTATTCATGTCCTCCTGCTGCTGTCACAAATGTAGTGGGTTTAAATGACACAAGTTTATTATCTTACAGCTCTGGGCATCAGAAGTCCAAAATGGGTCCTACTGGGCTAAAATCAATGTGTCAGCAAAGCTGTAGCCCTTTCTGGAGGCTCTTGGTGAGAATGTGTTGCTTTGCTTTGTCAGGTCTAAAGGCTGTCCACATTCCTTGACTTGTGGCCCCTTCCGTTGTCCATACCAGCAATGTCTGGTTGAGTCTTTCTCATGCTGCTCCCTCTGGACTGACCTTCTACCCGCTTCTACTTTTGAGGACACTGCTTACACTGGATTCACCCAGATACTCCAGGATCATCTCTCTACTCTTAGATCAGCTGATTAGCAAATTGAATGTCATCTACACCTTCATTCCTCTTTGGCAGGTCACATAGCACATTACCAGGTTCCAGGGATTGGGAGGTGGATGTCTTTGGAGGCGGAGCATTGGTCTAGCTACCACAGAAAGGGATTTTACTACTTGTGTCCAAACATATTCTGAATTTTCAGGCCTTGCTTCTTGGCTCATGCTGTTACCTCTGTCTGAAATTTCCCTCCTCCATTGATGACATTTTACTCCTCTTAATGCAGGTGTCCCATCTCTAGGAAGCTTCGCTTCCCTTCCTGCCCCTCCTCAGAAGCTTCATGCCCTTTTCACCATGTCTCACCTACTGATGCCTCCTGGTCCATCTGGGCACTTGTCTGTCTCAGCAGCTAAACTTGCAATCCAGGAGGGTATACATGGTCCTCTTCTCTGTCATGTTCTTAGTACTAATGGAGCGCCTGGCACCCATCAGGCTGTTGAATGGAAAAATGATCGTCATCTTCAATCATACAGTCCTTTACTTCCTAAGATACATTTCATAATTTTACCCAGCGGTGCTTTCCAACACACTAAGATGACATCTCCGCGTATGTGTGCGCATGTGTGCACTGCAAATTAAATCTCGCTTGTCTTAAGGGTTTGCATGTTTGTTATACCCATCAAGCTGTGACCTTAATAGTTGCCCCTTTAGAAGTTATACTTGAAATAGGTATTCATAGAATACAGTCACTTTAGCAAAAGAAGAAACAGTTTTCACCAGAAGCAAGTGTCACAGTGAAGTGTGGAGGCTGGTTAGCACAGGTTGATGACATGATTTATTGTGTTTACATAATGAAAAAATATGTCATCCAGAGAAACATGCCCCAAGCATAGGGAGAGGAGGGTGAGAGCCAGAATGTAAGGAATCTGTTTCCTTTTGTGTTATGAAGAACCAGAATTTCCTGCAGGTCAAAGCAACAGAGGTCAAGGGCAGCCAGCCAGAGCCTGCCTGGCACCCTAGCGTACCAGCCTTGTGGGGTGCCAGGTGCCTTGTCAATGTTATAAACTGAGTTTCTCTTTCATTTTTCATAGGCCAGACAAATTCTAGAATTTTACCCTTGCACTTCTGAAGAGATTGATCATGAAGATATCACAAAAGATAAAACCAGCACAGTAGAGGCCTGTTTACCATTGGAATTAATCAAGGTATAGAGGATTTTCCTCCCAAAACTTGCAGTGTGGTTAAAAGCTGTGCATCAAATCTCACCTGCTTCTAAAAATTCACGTTTCTGGTATCCATCATTATGGGACTTTAACTGGTCCTACTTCCGAAGTTAGATTTGGGAGAAAAATTATAAAAATAAATGGGTTTTTTTGCAATAATATGAATATACTTAACACTTACAAATAGTTAACATGGTAAATATTATGATATGTGTTTTTACCATAATAAAAAAAGTTTGACCTGAAAAGTCAGACAGATTTATACTAAGATTTAATACTTTGATATATGATATTTTTCCCTCTAGAATGAGAGTTGCCTAAATTCCAGAGAGACTTCTTTCATAACTGTAAGTCAAAAAATGAAAAGTTTCAGCCTGTATGATGAATTCATATCGCTGATGTCTGTTTATTTTTTCTTCTAGAATGGGAGTTGCCTGGCCTCCAGAAAGACCTCTTTTATGATGGTAAGACACACAGCTCTTTCCTCAAATGCAATGGGAGAAATGTTTTTAGCCCATCTCAAAGGATACTTCCCCATCTTGTCATGTCACCCAGGCCCTGTGCCTTAGGAGTATTTATGAAGACTTGAAGATGTACCAAGTGGAGTTCAAGACCATGAATGCAAAGCTTCTGAGGGATCCTAAGAGGCAGATCTTTCTAGATCAAAACATACTGGGAGTTATTGATGAGCTGATGCAGGTAAGACTTCATTCTATCAGTGAGAGCACCTTTTTCATGCTAAAGATACCTAGCCAGGGTCCTCAATAAAGAGGTATAAAATCAGCTCTTCCTGGATTGGTGGAGGCCTTTTAAAGGCCTGACAGACCTACATTTTCAAGGAGACAGCCTTGAGGGTGCCCCCTATAGGGAGCACAAATGTGAGCAGATGACATTATGAAAAGCAGACTCCAAAGTATTCACTCTGTGGTATCCCCCACACTCTGCAAATGTTTTTGTGCATTTTCTTATGTCAGCCTCAAAACAACCATATGGGATCTGCACAAAGGAGGGAACCAAACCTTAGGAGAGTTAAACCACTTGTCTGAGGCTCTGCCTCTTAAAATCCTTCAAGAGGATTTCACTACACTTACCTTCTCACTCACCTCTAAAGGCTCCAGGATGTGCTCCCGGATGTGCATACAAGGGGCCAGCTTGCAAATATTGCTGGGAAAACAAGCAAGATTGGTGCCTGATTATGACCCATTGTGAACCAAAATGTGAACCAAATAAAAGAATGACCTATCATCTGGGGCATCTATAATGTTATTCATAGGCAAGAACTTGCTTTGTAATGTTCCGAATCACCATAACACAGATGCTAATATAAAGCAAATATTTATATAAGCGAGGGTGATTGCTTTGGTGACTAGGACACAGGATAAAAATATGGTTGCAGAAATCATTGTCTGAAAAGTAATTGATTTACTTTTATTCTTTTCGTGTGTGTGTGTGTGTGTGTGTGTGTGTGTGTACGCGCGTGCATGTGCCAGATTACTTGTTTGAAAGGCAATGAGCTTTATCCAAGTATCAAAAAACGTTACCATCTAGAGAGCTGTAGTTGCTGTTTTGTTTTTAGGACCAAGAGTTGGGTGATTTGGGTGCTAGAATCAATTCTACCAGTAACCAGACAACTATTCCCAAGCCACTTAACCCCTCTGTGCCTCAGTTTCCTCTGGTATAAAATGGGGTGACTTTATTCTAGCTTTCTTTTAGACTTTTTGTGAGGATTTATGAAAGTATTTATTCATCAAGGGTGCAAATTATATTGTGTTATCAAATCCAAGTGCTAAACTTGGGAAATTCATTGCCAGGTTTATCTGACACAAATGGCATGTCTTCAGTAAACAGGCCTGTTACTGATAGCGAGTTCTGATCGATAGCAATCCATCACCTCCCTGTGCTAAACAGAAGTGGGCTTTTTAATGTAACATATACAAAATTAATTAGATAGTGCAGCAGATGTCATTTTAAAGGAACTGTTTCTTTCTAAGACACAACTCCCACTGATGTTTTTTTTCTAAATAGTTTCAAGGGTCTTTTCTGAGCTCATTGAAGATGGCTGTGCTTGGAAAATGAGTATTTCTTTTCTCAGGTTCTGCCTGGTAATCTGGCTGAGAGTAGATGTGGGTTGGGTTAGGAGTGGCATAAGGGACTGAGTTGCAGGCTCTGACACATGTACTGGCTTCACTCATTTTTATGAATGAATATTTGAATTTTGGAATACGATATAAGTCATGCTTACTGTTCATTCTCCTAGGCCCTGAATTTCAACAGTGAGACTGTGCCACAAAAATCCTCCCTTGAAGAACCGGATTTTTATAAAACTAAAATCAAGCTCTGCATACTTCTTCATGCTTTCAGAATTCGGGCAGTGACTATTGATAGAGTGATGAGCTATCTGAATGCTTCCTAAAAAGCAAGGTCTCTCCAAACCATTGTCATTTTTATAAAAATTTGAAATGAAGAAATTTTGATAGGATGTGGATTAAGAACTAGGGAGGGGGAAAGAAGGATGGGACTATTACATCCACATGATACCTCTGATCAAGTATTTTTGACATTTACTGTGGATAAATTGCTTTTCAGTTTTCATGAATGAATTGCCAAGAAGGGAAAATGTCCATCCTGAAGGCGTTTTACATTCACTTTAATAGAAGGGCAAGAATTTATAAGCTATTTCTGTACCAAAGTGTTTGTAGAAACAAACATGTAAGCATAATTTATTTTAAATTATTTATTTATATAACTTTGTGATCATGAAAGCATCTGAACTAACTTATATTTATTTATGTTATATTTATTAAATTATTTATCAAGTGGATTTGAAAAATATTTTTTAAGTGTTCTAAAAATAAAATTATTGAATTAAAGTGATTCTCCTATTTTTCTAATGTACTTTTAAGTGTTAAAATACACATTGTGGGAAAATTGAAAACTCTGATGAGACTTCAACAAAATTACTCTGGAAAGAATGCCACAATATTCTTCTTATTCCTTTCCTAGTTCCTTTCATCTCATTTTAAAGGGATCCTAGTAAGACAAGATATGCTTTACTACTAAGGGAGCCAAGTGAGTCATGGTTTTTGAGGGTTTATTATTTTTGTTCAACATGAGTCTAAAAGTGTGCTGTGCATTAGACAAATACATCATAATATTCTTCAACCAGAAAAAAATGTCACTAAGAGGCCTTCTAGCCTAATTATTCTAATTTTTGTGACCCTTTGGTCTCTGAGAGAAAAGTTGTCCCTAATTTACAACCAGAAAATCTCTCCATTTGTCTAAAATTGTATAGAACTTTTACCTGAACCACATGGATGATTGCCTTACTTTGGCTTAAGAGATGTGCTCTTGATGAGCTAAATGTTAAATTCCATCTTTTCAATTCTCTAAACCAGGGGTCCCCAATCCCCAGGCCATGGACTGATACTGGTCCATGGCCTGTTGGGAAGTGGGCCCCACAGCAGGAGGTGAGTGGCAGGTGAGCAAGCATTACCGCCTGAACTCTGCCTCCTCTCAGATCAGTGGCAGCATTAGATTCTCACAGGAGCGTGAACCCTATTGTGAACTGTACATGCAAGGGATCTAGGCTGTGTGCTCCTTATAAGAATCTAAGTAATGCCTAATAATCCGAGGTGGAACAGTTTTGTCCCGAAACTATCCTTGCCCCCTGCCCCCTGGGTCTGTGGAAAAACTGTCTTCCACAAAACCAGCCCCTGCTGCCAAAAAGGTTGGGGACCACCACTGGAAACCATGTAAATCTTTAGGCTTCATGACTTAGTCCACTTTGTACTGCTGTAACAGAATATCTGAGACTGGGCCATTTGTAAAGAACACGGATTTATTTTTGTACTGCTCTGGAGGTTGGAAAGTCCAAGAACAACGGGCCAGCCTCAATGGCCTTTGTGCCATGTCATCATATGGCGGAAGGTGAGAGAGTGAGCAAAGGGGTGCTGAACGTGTCCTTTTATAACCACTCCCATGATGACAGCATTAATCCATTCATAAGGGCAGAGTCCTCATTGCCTAATCACCTCGTAAAGGTCTCACATCTTTATTCTGTTACAATGGCAATTAAATTTCAATGTGAGGCTAGTCGCAGTGAATCATGCCTCAAATCCCAGTACTTTGGGAGGCTGAGGCAGATGGATCACCTGAGGTCAGGAGTTTGAGAGCAGCCTAGCCAACATAGTGAAACCCCATCTCTATTAAAAATACAAAAATTAGCCAGGCGTGGTGATGAACATCTGTAATCCCAGCTACTCGAGAGGCTGAGGCAGGAGAATCTCTTGAACCTGGGAGAGGAGGAGCTTGCAGTTAGCTGAGACTGCGCCACTGCACTCCAGCCTGGGCAACAGAGCGAGACTCCATCTCAAAAAAAGAAAAAGAAAAAAATTCAACGTGAGTTTGGGAGAGGGCAAACCACATTCAAACCATAGCAATTCACCTGACACAATACAATGCAATGTTAAGGCTTTGACAATCCATTCTTCCTCAATAGATAAAGGACCTAAAACATAAAATATTTTGAGTGACCCATTTCCTCAGTTACTCCTCCCAACTGAATCCCAATCTTTACCCCTGTAAATGTTTTATCTCCTTCCCAGGTCCTCCTGCATGACAAATTTCTCGTTTTTCAGATTCTTGCCCTATTAGACATTTAATAAAATAGAAACCATCAGAAGCTAGATCCCATCACCTATCTCCTTCTCTTGAATGGTCCACAAGTGCTTCACAGACATGGGTTTCTTTCAAGTGTCGAGTCTGGGGTCTCAGCAGCTTTGACAGTGAGAAGAGACAAACAGGCTGTAGAGCTGCGGCCACCTGTTACTTGGAATGGTGACTACTGGTTGTCTGGGCCCAGAAATCAGGAGGGACAAGCGGACTGTCTCTTCTATGAACTGGGTTTATACACAAGAACACGTGTGTTTCTTCTGTTCTAGAAATTAACATGGGATATGCTTCAAAAACATGATGGGATGCAGTAACAGCTTCACGATTCATTCCAGTCTTTATTACATGGTTAGTTTTTCACTTTTTTTTAAGCCCGTGTCTGCAATTTACAAGTTGTGTAATACGCTTGCAACCAAATCATCCCAATGCTCCCCACTGGTTTCCTCTTCTGAAAAAGGAAGGTAATACTAGGACCTACCTCAAAGGATCAGAGAAAGGGTAAAATGGAACAACTCGTGCAAAGGGCTGGCATTGCACCTGGCACATAGTAAGTGCGCAATAAATGTAAGCACGTTTTGAAATGTATTATTAGTCTTCGGGCTAGGCACCTGTACCAAATTGGTTACCTCCTCTTTGCTGCTATTTCCTCATTGATGAAATTCAGAAAACTGTGGGACCTAATTAACTGTGTTATTCTGAAGATTAAATGACACAACACAGTGCTAGCACCTAGTTATTACTCAACATAAATTTGTTAAAGCTCTCACAAGACATCAGAAAACCCGCTGATACACTGTGCCCCCATGGCACTCAGCGTATTAAGTGTGGTCAGGACAAGCAGTTGCCCGGTGTGAAGTATGAGGGCAAAAGGTAGGGCCTCTGCCTTCCAAGAACAAAGGGTGGAGAGCACAGTAACTTTTTTTTTTTTTTGAGACCAAGTTTCACTTGTTACCCCAGGCTAGACTGCAGTGGCGTGATCTCGGCTCACTGCAACCTCCATCCCCCAGGTTCAAGCGATTCTCCTGCCTCCACCTCTTGAGTAGCTGGGATGACAGGCACCCACCACATGCCTAGATAATTTTTTTATTTTTAGAGACGGGGTTTCACCATGTTGGCTAAGCTGGGTCTCAAACTCCTGGCCTCAGGTGATCCGCCCACCTCAGCCTCCCAAAGCGCTGGGATTACAGCGTGAGCCACTGAGCCCAGCCAGGAGCAAAACCAAGGAACTCCCCCTCAAAAAAAAATACTCCCCAGTCAATTGGAGATTCGTTTGATTAGCAAATTACTTTATTCAAAAGAAACTAAACCTTGAAAGTGTATCTGACACCTCAGAATGGCCACATCAGAGAATTAACATGAAACATACTGAGTTGCCAGCTGCCCCATTGAAGGTCCAGGACTTTGAGGAGACAGAACAGTTCTAGGACATGGTCTGGCCAGACATCCAAAGGTGAGTATTGAAAAACTCAAGAGATGTAAAAGACCCTTAGACACCCAAAGGTGGATAAGAAACTACAGACAAAAAGAAAAGAACACTAGCTTTGTTGGGGACCAGCACCCACAGCCATCATAAGTCCTCTTCCCTGTGTCACACTGGGCCATTCGGTTATTATCCTTATTTGAGGACTAAACATCTTGGGCCAGGCGCGGTGGCTCACACCTGTAATCCCAGCACTCTGGGAGGCCAAAGCCGGCAGATCACGAGGTCAAGAGGTCAAGACTATCCTGGCCAACATGGTGAAACCCCGTCTCTACTAAAAGTACAAAAATTAGTTGGGCATGGTGGTGTGTGCCTGTAGTCCCAGCTACTCAGGAAGCTGAGGCAGGAGAATTGCTTGAACTCAGGAGGTGGAGGTTGCAGTGGGCCGATATCGCACCACTGCACTCCAGTCTGGCGACAGAGCGAGATTCCATCTAAAAAATAAAAAATAAAAAATTAAAAAACACTTTTGGTTCTGGAAGCATAATTCGGCTTCCTAGCTTAAAGCAAATTGCATTACAATATGATAAGTAAGAAAAAAAATCTGGCTTCATTTTCCAAAACTTGAATTCGTGTACTTGAAATATTTTATTTTAAAAAGTGAAGTAGGATGTGTATAAACGTTGTGAAATGTATGTGGTGAGAACAAGCACAAAAACTTTAGTTATACTTATGGATCTTTCAATTTTACATTAAAATATGAGTATGAATTAAATCTATGTAATATCAAAAACAGTATATTTATGGACTCTGTTTTAGACAAAAAAAAAAAAAAGTAGTAGCAACTGCTCAATTGTGCTTCCTAAATGCCAGGCATGTTCCTAAGAGTTTACCACAAATAAACATAATCATCCTAATAACTCTTTTTATGGATGTGGAAAGTGAAGAAGATTATTTAAGTTGGTCGGGTGCAGTGGCTCATGCCTGTAAACCCAGCACTTTGGAAGGCCGAGACAGAGGATTGCTTGAGCTCAAGAGTTCAAGATCAGCCTGGGCAACATGGCAAAATCCCCATCTCTACAAAAAATAAAAATAATAAACAATAAGATTATGTCAGCTCACATCATTAACATCTTAAGTGGTGGGGTCTCAGCCTGTGCCAGCAGCTACGCTCATGTTAAAGTCACTGTAAGTCAAGGGAACGCTTTCCCCATAACCATATAACTATCATCCCAATTATTTATGTATCTCCCTTCTCCCACCTGCTCAACTGTGAGAACTTCAGATTTAGGCAATGTAGTATTACCCACGTATTTGTGTTCCCAGCCCCA